AGTACTACATTTATCTTATTTAAAGAATACATTATCAGTACTGACTGTTCCTTTAAAAATTGGAAATATGTAGGTTTATTATCAGCATGATTAAAATGAACAACTGTTTAAGACTAAATCATTTGGTCTCTGGTGGAGAGTTGTCTGATTGGCAAGCATACCACGCCTTCTTATTTCTATATTAAAAACATTGATAAAAAATCTCAAGTTATGTGGACCAAACTCAAGCTTAAAATGTTCAAATCTCCAGTTGTAACATGACAACTCTGTCACATGTCTGTCCTACAAATCTGCAATGCACTCTGATTTGAAAGCTTTCTATCATAGAGTAAGCCTTAAGTGCCATATCTTGATTTTTAATTCCTTGAAAGTTGATCCATATATATATGTACCTCTTCTTCAATCAACTTCAGAGATTAACTATTCTAACCTCTAAACCTCGGAAAAAAAAAATGCATATACATGTATTATAGTCTTCAAGAAAGCTCTCATAGGTTTCAGCTATAGTAATCCTTAATGTTTTTCGGATTTCAACAAAATGGCTCTGGCTCAACTCATAGATGAGTCCAATGATGAAAGATCCTATATCAGAACCAGTTCGGATCTAACAACAATCCATGCACTCAAAATTAGTAGTACATTACTTCTTTACTTTCAAAAAAGCAAGATCAACAATATTTCTGTAAGGTATTTATAAAAAAAGTTTATAGACCCCCACCCACCAAAGAAAATAATAAAATTAGTTATTGTCTTTGGACAGATAAAATATGTGCAATTGGGGGACATTAGAGCTCTGTTCTTTTATCAGGATTGATTTTGATTTATCTATCATTATGGCTATAAGAACACCCAAAGGTTCTAATATTATGCAACACCATTTATAAATTGGTCCATCAAGTATTTGTAGTTTGTTTCAGACAAGAGTAAAATGGTCCAATCAGAAGACAAAAAAGGTATTAAAATAGGAAATATTTGAAATATCAAAAGAGACCAATACTTAATTATCATGATTATTTTTTGTCTATTCTATTAAAATGAGTTTTTTCATTGTATAGTACGTGTATAAATGCTGCACCTTTTGAGCTTAGCTTGTCCTGCCTGGTGTACATGTACCATACACCTTTTGAGCTTAGCTTGTCCTGCCTGGTGTACAGGTACCCCTTTATCAGAAGTGGATTTCTCTTCTCTCTGATGGGGTGTCCTATTTTATAGATTCAAAAACAAAATAAAAAGGACTTACAATTACAGTGATGTTTAACTTAATGTTTACCCTAATAAAGCCCGTCAGACCCTCCTTCATGTAATTGTACACTAAATTTTCATGCCTATGTATTTAATGGACATTTTCAATCTGATATTAAGGCCAGACTCTTTGGTTAAGCACTATTTACAATCATAACATTTCCATATGCAAATGATACTAAAGGTCAAGGAACAGTAAGTGGGCTATGTCACAGATTTTGCTAAAAGTTTGCATACAACTAGAAATTAGAAATTTGAGATTTGATGTTTATAGACAAATTTAAGAAGGTTTTTTGCAGATTTTATGTGCTTTTTATATGACCGCAAAAAAAATTTTGTGGTCGTATATTGGTATGACGTTGGTGTCGTCGTCGACGTCCGGCGTCTTCGTCCGAAGACACATTAGTTTTCGCACTCTAACTTTAGTTTAAGTGAATGGATCTCAATGAAATTTTACCATAAGGTTCAATACCACAAAAGGAAGGTGGGGATTGATTTTGAGGGTTATGGTACCCACAGTTATGGAATTAGGGGCCAAAAATAAGCATTTTTGTAACTTCCAGACATAACTTGTGTGTAAGTGTATGGATCTCTCTGACATTGTACCACAAGGTTCCATATCACAAAGGGAATGCTGGGATTGATTTTGGGGGTAATTGCCTCCAAATTTTAGGAATTAGGGGCCAAAAAGGGGCAAAAAACAAGCATTTTTCTAGTTTCATGACAATAACTTGTGTGTAAGTGTATGGATCTCTCTGAAATTGTACTGCAAGGTACCATACCACAAAGGGAAAGCTGGGATTGAGTTGTGGGGTGATGAATCATAAGGGGGTTCAAAATATTGGGGGGGATTTTTTTTTCCTTTTTTTTCTTTAAAATTTTCCATTTTAAATTGGTTATTTCTGATTTATATATAAAAGCAAATAATAATGGGTTCGACCTCTGCGGTCGTATCAAGCTGCGCCCCAGCGGAGCATTTTATTATACAAATGTTCACCTATTTTGAAAGAATACAATCAGTAATATTTCAGATGATAAAAGAGATAAATGCATTATTTTTCTGATTTTCAGTTATAGTTCATCGAGCTCGAGTTGTATGCAAAATTTTGTAAAAAATCTGTGACAAAGCCCATTTACTTTAACTTGACCTTAAGTATCATTTTTATACGACCGCAAAAAAATTTTTGTGGTCGTATATTGGTATGACGTTGGCGTCGTCGTCGTCCGGCGTCGTCGTCGTCCGGCGTCGTCCGAAGACACATTGGTTTTCGCACTCTAACTTTAGTTTAAGTGAATGGATCTTTATGAAATTTTACCACAAGGTTCAATACCACAAAAGGAAGGTTGGGATTGATTTTGGGGGTTATGGTAATAACAGTAAAGGAATTAGGGGCCAAAAAGGGGCCAAAAATAAGCATTTTTGTAACTTCCAGACATAACTTGTGTGTTAGTGTATGGATCTCTCTGACATTGTACCACAAGGTTCCATATCACTAAAGGAATGCTGGGATTGATTTTGGGGGTAATTGCCTCCAAATTTTAGGAATTAGGGGCCAAAAAAGGGGCAAAAAACAAGCATTTTTCTAGTTTCATGACAATAACTTGTGTGTAAGTGTATGGATCTTTCTGAAATTGTACTACAAGGTTCCATATCACAAAGGGAAAGCTGGGTTTGAGTTTGGGGGTAATTGCCCTAAACGTTTAGGAATTTGGGGCCAAAAAGGGGCCAAAAAACACATTTTTTTCTAGTTTCCAGACAATAACTTGTGTTCAAGTGTATGGATCTCTCTGAAATTGTACTGCAAGGTACCATACCACAAAGGGAAGGCTGGGATTGAGTTTGGGGGTGATGAATCATAATGGGGGTTCAAAAAATTTTGGGGGGGGATTTATTTTTTTTTCCTTTTTTTTCTTTTTTTCCTTTTTTGTTTCTTTTAAAATTTTCCATTTTAAGTTGGTTATTTCTGATTTATATTTAAAATCAAATAATAATGATATGGTAGGAGATACACACCAAACAGGATGTGTAAATTATTATATAATAAGTATTGTGCAATAGCAAGAAATTTTCAATTGCACAGTATTGCACAATAACAAGAAATATCCAATAGCACAATATTGCGCAATAGCAAGAAATTGTCAATTGTACAGTATTGCGCAATAGCAAGAAATATTTAATAGCACAGGATTGTGCAAAAGAAGATACTTCCTATAAATTGCTTATTTCTTGACCAATTTCAATGGGGTTTTATTCTTGATTTCATGGGGTTCTTTAATATGCTGAATATAACCGTGTATTTAGTTTTTGGATTTTGGGTCCCGTTTTTAAATTGGTCCACATTGAGGTCCAAAGGGTCCAAAATTAAACTTTGTTTGATTTCATCAAAAATTGAATTATTGGGGTTCTTTGATATGCCGAATCTAACTGTGTATTTAGATTCTTAAATTTTGGTTCTGTTTTCAAATTGGTCTACATTAAGGTCCAAAGGGTCCAAAATTAAACTTAGTTTGATTTTAACAAAAATTGAATTCTTAGGGTTCTTTGATATGCTGAATCTAAACATGTATTTAGATTTTTGATTATGGGCCCAGTTTTCAAGTTGGTCCAAATCGGGGTCCAAAATTAAACTTTGTTTGATTTCAACAAAAATTGAATATATGGGGTTCTTTGATATGCTGAATCTAACCATGTATTTAGATTTTTGATTTTTGGGCCCCGTTATCAACTTTGTCCACATTGAGGTCAAAAGGGTCCAAAATTAAACTTTGTTTGATTTCATCAAAAATTGAATTATTGGGGTTCTTTGATATGCCGAATCTAACCGTGTATTTAGATTCTTAATTTTTGGTTCCGTTTTCAAATTGGTCTACATTAAGGTCCAAAGGGTCCAAAATTAAACTTAGTTTGATTTTAACAAAAATTGAATTCTTAGGGTTCTTTGATATGCTGAATCTAAACATGTATTTAGATTTTTGATTATGGGCCCAGTTTTCAAGTTGGTCCAAATCGGGGTCCAAAATTAAACTTTGTTTGATTTCAACAAAAATTGAATATATGGGGTTCTTTGATATGCTGAATCTAACCATGTATTTAGATTTTTGATTTTTGGGCCCCGTTATCAACTTTGTCCACATTGAGGTCAAAAGGGTCCGAAATTAAACTTTGTTTGATTTCATCAAAAATTGAATTCTTGGGGTTCTTTGATATGCTGAATCTAACCATGTATTTAGATTTTGGATATTGGACCATAATAGGTGAATGTCCAATTTAAAATTTTTAAGTTCTTAGACCACATTCAATCTGTGTTAGAAACCTATGCTGTGTCAAATATTTAATCACAATCCAAATCCAAAGCTGTATCAAGCTTGAATGTTGTGTCCATACTTCCCCCAACTGTTCAGGGTTCGACCTCTGCGGTCGTATCAAGCTGCGCCCTGCGGAGCATTTTATTGCAAATGAACAAATGATCACATCTATATTGATTTTTATCTTTTAGCTTCTAAAAATATTCATAAACAGGTAAAGAGTAAAGTATGGTGTTCAAATAAAGATCACATAAACATCTAGTAATACTTATACTATTTTTGTTTGGCTGTGGAGTTTCAGAAATTATTGATAGAAATGAATGCCAATCCCCTTTATAGTCAAACAAAAACCATTAAAACAAGATGTCATGTTTAAAATCATTTTTTTTGGCTTGGTATTAAGAAATTATTGATAGAAAAGAATGCCAATCCCCCTTATAGTCAAATAGAACCAGTGAAACTAAATATATTTTGTCGTCTCCAGATAACGAGGCAGCTAAAATGTCTGTCCCAGTTAAAAAAAGGCGGCTAGGTAGTGACTATTCATCACCACTCCTCCCTACAACCAGCAGCATACATGTAGCATCAGAAGGTAGGTATCAGCTGCTGGGTGTATTATAAAATACACTGGTCATTTACATGTAAATGTTTAGGGTATCAATTAGCTTACAGTATGTTATTGCAGATTCAGTATTTGAAAATTTTACCGTATTTAGAAACATTAAAGAATGATTTACTTGTTATCTACAAATTACTCATTACTTTCTGATTTAACACACAAGTCTAGATGGGAAACTTCAGGTTCACATTTGAAAAAAAAAGTGTTACTCTTCATCTTTTGCAGTTCATTTAAAATTGTGATCAAATTACAATTTGTTTCATCAAATCAAATCTACCAGTAATAGGATTGAAAAAAAAATATGTTATAAGTATATTTTTATTACACTGCACTGGCTTTATACTAACAACATTTCACAAGCAATGACCTGAACTATTTTACCAGTTGATCAGTTGGTAGAGATGAATTCAAACTGTAATTATGCCTCTGCCGTAGCGGAGGGGGCATTAAGTTTTACCCTTGTCCTTCTGTACGTACGTACGTACGTCCCAAAATTGGTTTCCGTTCTCTAACTTTAGTTTGCCTCAACCAAATGTTATGAAACTTATACAAAATGCTTATTACCACAAAACACAGATCAAGTTTGAATTTAGGTGGCGTCACTTTTACCGTTCTAGAGTTATGCCCCTTTACAAATGGAAACAATGCTGAATTTTTCGTTTCCAATCTTTAACTTAAGTTTGCCTCAACCAAATGTTATGAAACTTGTACACAATGCTTATTACCACAAAACACACATCAGGTTTGAATTTGGTGGCGTCACTTTAACCATTCTAGAGTTATGCCCCTTTAGAAATGGAAAAATTGCAAAATTTTTATTTTCTTCTAAATATCAAGTAATTTTATTAAAATTGGAGTTATCTTCCTTTGTTTATGATTATAGTTGAATCAACTACAATCAATGCTTTATACAATGCAATGTTTAATTTTGACTTCCACTGATAAAACACAGATCAAGTTGAATTTGGGTAGTGTCACTTTAATCATTATTGAGTTATGCCCCTTTATAAATCGAAAGATTGCAAAATTTTTAGTTTCCATTCTGTAACTTAAGTTTGCCCCAACCAAACATTACGAAACCTATTACCAATATTCATTACCACAAAACTAAGATCAAGTACAAATTTTTTGTTTCCATTTTCTAACTTTAGTTTGCCTCAACCAAATGTTATTAAACTTATACACAATGCTTATTACTACATAATACAGATTAAGTATGAAATTTGGTGGCGACACTTTTACCATTCTTGAGTTATGTCCCTTTATAAACATAAAAATTGCTGAATTTTTCGTTTCCGTTCTCTAACTTTAGTTTGTCTCAACCAAATGTTATAAAACTTATACACAACCGTTCTAGAGTTATGCGTGTTTACAAATAGAAAAATTGCTGAATTTTTAGTTTCTGTTCTCTACCTAAGTTAGCCTCAACCAAATGTTATGAGACTTACACACAATGCTTATTACCACAAAACTCAGATCAAGTTCAAATTTGGGTAGCGTCACTTTTACTGTTCTTCAGTTATGTCCCTTTATATCTATATGATATGCAAGCGAGGGGCATCATCTGTGTCCCTATGTGGACACTATAATCCACATTTATTTATTAAAATATTTAAGCAATTGGTATTGTGAAAGGGCAAAGCCTTTAGGACACGCACAGTAATAAAATTGTAAACATATGGCATATGTACAGTGAGTGAACCACAGTCAAGTTATCAATGTTAGTGGGAAAAAGTGAAAAATGAAAGCATACTAACAATCCTGTTAGATTTGAAATCCCCATCTATCATTGAAATTGCACATATAAATATTTCTTTTATCATTATCAATTGTAATTTCATAGTAAGCTAAGGTGAGTCATGTTGAAATTGCTATTATAGGGTCCAATACACTAACAATCAAGTCATTGACATTGTATGATATAAGTTTATTTTAGTTAGTTCATATTTAGGTTATGGCTTTTTTCTAACAATCACTGAAGTTGAATTCATCTCTACCAACTGATCAACAGGTAAAATAGTTCAGGTCATGGCTAGTGAAAGGTTGTTAGTAAGAAGCAAATGCAGTGTAAACAAAATTATATGTAAATTCATTTTTAGCTCACCTGACCCTTAGTGAGCTTTTCTCATCACTTGGCGTCCCTTGTCCGTAAGCGTCTGTCGTCGTCTGTTAACTTTTACAAAAATGTTCTCTTAGACTACTGGGCCAAATTATCTTGAAAACTAAAATAGATAGAGAGAAACTTTAAATTGCAAAAATGATCAGCAAGACACGTTCAACAAATAAGTTTAATGGATGAAATCGTAAGTGGACTTTATTGGAGTTATTGCTTGATGATGACTTTTACCAATTTTTGGAGTTTTGCCTTATATCTTAAGAATTATAATAGATAGATAGAAACTTAAGTAGCAAAAATGATCAGCAAGACAAGATCTACAATTAAGACAATATGGAGGAAATTGTTTAACGACTCCTTATTAGAGTAATTGCCCTTTAATGACAATTTTCACCATTTGTTTGGCGTTTTGCCTTATATGATAAAAATAATAAGAGATAAAAAGACACTTTTAATCTCAAAAATGATCAGCAAGTCAAGATCTACTAACAAGTCAAGATCTACTAACAAGTCAAATTTTGCCTATATAGTTAGTAGAATGTCACTTTTTATAGGAGTGATTGCCCTCTTTTGTGTTTTGAGCAAAAACTAAAGAAGATAGAGAGAAACTAAACAGACTAAATGATCATCCATACAAGATCAACAAAACAGATTTTTGTTTTGATTTCTATTCTCATCTACAATGTTGGAGAGTGTCCTTTGTTGAATATGCACATAGACCAAGGTGAGCGACACAGGCTCTTCAGAGCCTTTAGTTACGTTTACGGGACGTATTATGGTATACCGTTGTCCGTCTTTCCGTCTGTCCGTCTGTCTGTCCGTCCGTCGTCAACATGTCGGACATTAACTAAAAAACGCTCTAACCAATTTTGCATAAAACTTTGGTGAATTGTTTATATCTATTGACGTGAGCTCCCTTTCATTTTTTATAAATTTTAGATTTTACATTTCCAAGTTATGGGGTTTTATTCATTAAAAAGAGGGGGATTTTCCAGTTTTCGGACAATAACTCAAGAATGCTTTCACCAACTTGCAAGAAATTTTGGTTAATTGTTTATATTTATTGACATGAGCTCCCTTTTGATTTTTATAAATTTTAGATTTTACGTTTCCAAGTTGGGGGGTTTAATTCATAAAAAAAAAAGGGGATTTTCCAGTTTTCGGACAATAACTCAAAAATGCATTCAGCAGTTCTCATGAAACTTTGATAACTTGTTGATATCTATTGATGTAAGCTGCCTTTAGAATTTTATAAATTTTAGATTTTACATTTCCGAGTTATGGGGTTTTATTATTTAAAAAAGGGGGGATTTTCCAGTTTTCAGACAATAACTCAAAAATGCTTTCAGCAATTCTTATGAAACTTTGGTGAATTGGTTATATCTATTGATGTAAGCTCCCTTTAGAATTTTATAAATTTTATTTGTTTATAGTCTTGACAACAGTACCGGTATTTCTCAACAGCATAGTGTATTGTACATCAGCAAGAAATCTTTAATTGAATATAAATTCAATTCATATAACCAATAATAGTCATATATTCTTTGACTACATTTATTCAGAAACCTGTCCAATATTAAATTACAATCTAAATTCAGACCTGTATCAAGCTTGAATATTGTGTCCATTTTTGCCCCAACTGTTCAGGGTTGGACCTCTGCGGGCGTATCCAGCTGCACTCAGCAAAGCAGTTTATTTTTTCAATTCTATTAGATTTGAGTTCCACATCTGTCATTGAAATCATATAAATGTAGGGCTTTAAAAATACATGTATATCAATTGTAAAGGCATATGAAAGGTTATATAGTGATTTTTGAATTGTGATAATAATATTTAATATGAGTTGTCATTTCATCAATATTAAAAATACTCGGAGAAATATGTTTTTATCTGAAATATGTTTTCTTGAATTTTAAAGGGAGATAAGACAGTCAAATTACTAATTCATATGAAAATAGATAATTCATGGACTCTTATTGACATGATACGGGGTATGTTCTTCTCACATATTTTATGATGGTATGATACTAAACCCCTTACGGGAGGGATTGTACTTGATTTTCATATGATGAAGACATAATCTTTCAATCAGTTTAATTGAGGTCTGGAGCTGGCATGTCAGTAACTGCTAGTAGTCCTTTGTTAATTTATGTATCATTGTCGTTTTGCTTAGTTTCTTTTGTTACCTATTCTGACATCGGACTCTCACTTCTTGCGTATTGCTGTGTGTTTCTTTATTCTACATTGGCTAGAGGTATAGGGGGAGGGTTGAGATCTCACAAAACATATTTAACTTTGCCGCATTTTTGCGCCTGTCCCAAGTCAGGAGCCTCTGGCCTTTGTTAGTCTTGTATGTTTTTTTATTTTAATTCATTTATATTATTGGAGTTTATTATGACGTCCATTTCTACTGAACTAGTACACATTTTAATTAGGGGCCAGCTGAGGACCACCTCCGGGTGCAGGATTTTCTCGCTGCGTTGACGACCCATTGGTGGCCTTTCAAGTTTGGCTGTTATCTGCTCTTTGACCGGTTTGTTGTCTCTTTGACATATTCCCCATTTCCATTCTCAATTTTATAACATATTTTGCTTCACATATATATCTTGATGACTATTAACAGTTTTGGTTCAAATTTATGTCTGTTTCATAGAAAAATAAAGACATTTTATAAGGAGTAGTACATTTATAAAGACTTGACAATTGTATAGAAATAAAAACGATAACCCTGCCTTCCCTTCATATGACTTTGAAACTTAATTGATATATGGTTAAAGAAATACATGTGTTCAATTTCAATGTTAGATGTGGAATTCAAATCTAAAAGGTTTGGAAGTATAATGTTTATTATACTGTG